GCTTCAAAAAACTATTTGTTCACAGAATACTTGGTGGTCTGTTAATGGCCAAGGTGGGTGAGAAACGACATTAGTTCTTCTGTGCATGAGAACAGCAGCTCTCAGATCCACAGCAGGCCAGAAGTGCATTGGGAGCTGTACTATCTGGAGTAAAGAAAGTAGTTATTTTAGATGATAGAGAAGCGATCCAGCCATAGCATGCATCTCATGAGAACTAACATTTCAATACATACTGGAAATTAGAAAAAAAAAGCATTGTGCTCAATGTTACTATCCACCACCTAAAATTAATTCTGTAAAAGATTATATAAAAAATTTACTCTACAGAGGGGAAACAGGAGATTCAACAACAGTGTCATAACCAATGTTAATTTTACCAAATGAATAGTGGGTGATGCCAATTCAATAAAGTTATTGCTTAGTAAAATGTGATCATCCTATAGCTAGAGCTGCCTAATTTCACAGTTTCTAATATTATTATTTCTATGGACATTTTTTTTGAGTTAATAACTATTTTATCTAAAAATCAGTGATTGCTATTAAGTTTGGTATAAGCTGATAGAATCTCATCATGTCTAAAGTATCAATAATAGACAGCCTGCCTAATAGGAAACAACTTTTTCTGATTTCTCTTTTGAGAATTCATAGTGCTCTGGAAATCCTTTATCGTTTATTTAATTGGTAAAGCAAATATATCAATAGAAAATCATAAAAATAGTTCAGAAATATATAAACATATAACACATTTCAAATAAAATCTACCCAAACAATTATAGTATCACAATAAAGCAGAGCTCCACCTAAAAGGGGAAGTTCCTCTTTAAAGACTGGTCCCCCACTTCCCATTAAGGATTGGTACCTATGGGGAGAGGGTACCCAAAATTGACTGGTACCCACTCCCACTTCCGCTGCGATCGCCTAGAAGTTGTCCTCCTACCATCCCTCCCTGTAATCTTCTGGGACATGTGACAGGTCCCAGAAGACTACAAGGCCATTCAGGAAGCGCAGCGCTACCCGCGCATGCACAGTTGTCACCCAGCTGTGAAGCCACAAGCTGTCACAGCCAGGTGCCCACAATGAAGATGCCAGCGCCTGGAACACCAGACAGCTGGTGAAACGGGCTGCGGGGAGGACACCGTGAGTGGCTGTTTTTTAAAAGTCAGCAGCTACAGTTTTTGTAGCTGCTGACTTTTATTTTTTTACAGTGTGAGTGGAACTCCGCTTTAAGATTGACACTGTGCAAGTAACCTGAGCCTATCAACCAACCTAAAGTATAATTAAAGGCAAAACCTTTTTTAGTGATGGATGGAGTGGAGAGGGATTAGAACACCTGTCCGTTTTTATTGCTGTCTGTGCCCCTGTTAAGGAGATTCTCCCTCTCTAGTTGTCCTGTTTACCATTTTCATTGAAAGTGAAAGTAAAAGAAAACCCCAAATTTTTGGTTATCCTCAGAAAAGTGTTAGAGAGGAAACTAACGGGAACGCTAGTTTTAATGACCTGGGGTCCCCAAGGGATTCTCTTAGTTTTCAGGGATTTCCTCCGCCTTTCTGTTTGGCTATGGGACAGGAAGTGAAGGGAAATCTACACAATGACACACAGATGGCGAAACAAAACCCTACAGGGGTTATAACCTTTCCATTCCTGCTCTATCCAAAATGTAAAGAAAAAGTTTTTTCTATAGTTCTACTTTAATTGCACTCTGTAAATTAACTTTACAGGGACAGTTCCCCAATGCTGAGAGATTGTTAGCTTACTGTATGTTAAATCTCTAAACTAGCAGAGCACACCTATATATGATGCTGGTTCAGAGACTGCAATGTCTGTGACTAATGATTGGAAACCAATTAGCATGTTTTCTGATCATGTGATTACCATGACAGCCAATCAAAGTTTTTTTTTAGAAACCTTTGTTGCCTGCAGATGTCCCTCTCTTTCTTTGTGTACTCACTGTGTACAGAGAATGAAGTAAAACTTTGGAACTAATTAGAGTTTGGAAAAATATACATGTTTCAAAAAGTAAAAAGGAAACTTATGTGTAAATTAGCTAAAAATACATTTTTTTTTCCATTCTCCATTTTCAGTTTTTATAATTTAAAAAAGTATAAAAAAGATGTCAAAATGATTTAGGTAGGTTAATTAATCATTGTCTACTTAATGGAAGCATATAGTTTCTGCTAAATGTGGTCTGGTTAACTAACCTCAGCCCTAACATTTTAAACTCTCATTGTCCAAACTATCCTTTGCAGCAGCCAACTTATGCCAGAGTAGTGATGCTGGAGGCTAACAGTTCTCTGCCTCTCCTCCGGTGGTAAAAAGCTGTAATCCAGTTCACTTTAATAAAAGAGACCTGTTCATTTATCATGATGTAGTACACCCTTTTAGATTAAAAAATTCCCCCAAGTCAGTACAGCTCTGGAATTCTTGGAGTCAGTATGATCCAGAAATCTTGAAGTATCCTTTGGACAGCTTGTTAAGTCCATGAATTTAGCCTGGGACAAAAAAGGATTAACAGCACAATATAAAAAAAAGGTTCCATAAAATGTTGGACACTTAGTGCACTGGTGGTATTTGCAGGTGGGTTTGTAAAATATTATTGCTATTGTTTTCAGTTTGCAAAATATTGGGAAATTATAGTGACATTCATAACATAGCATCAGCATTTGGCATCTTTTAGTTTCACACATAGATAAACAGACCTATAGGTGTCTGAGATTATTATATAGCCAGGAATTCTTTGTGTATTTTTGCTTAACATAGTTTTTTGCTTGCAACTGCAAATATGGGGCTATAAAATTGAAAGTATAATGCCTGAAAAAAAAGTCAAACTAATAAAAGAAAAAATAAATAAATAAATAGTATTTAGTTTTGAAATGTGAGTGCTTTATTTCAATATAAATCCACCCAGAAATAAATGTTACATGTGACTTTATATTGCACAATCGTGAACCAGTAACATTTAATAATACATTGTGCTATTTTTATAACTATTGTGATGATTTAAAACACGCTGTTTATTTCATATTTAATTGCTAGCATATTGACTTTCAGAGTGGAAAGGAATGTTAATTACATGTCATGAATTGTTTTGGTGCATGATTTGTAGTAGAATTTTTTTATTACTACACATATCTAGAAAAACAGCCCTGCTTCTCTGAATTGTTTCTTTGAACGTACAAAGATGTTCACAAAATGTTGAATACAAAACAACAAAGAGAAGAAGAAGTAAGAGAGAACAGCTACATTGAATTGGACCAGCTGTATGAGTATTTTGGACAATTTGAATAGCGTAATTAAAGTGGTTCTAAAGGCACAATGTTTTTTTTTACCTTAATGCATTCTTTGCATTAGGTAAAAAATCTTCTTGGTGCAGCTGCCCCCCCCCCCCCACCTTATACTTATCTGAGCCCCATCTCAATTCAACAATGTGCATGAGAGCCGCTGCTCTCTCAGGTCTCTCTCTCCTCATTGGTTAACACAGCAGGGGGAGCCATTGGCTCCTGCTGCTGTCAATCACAGCCAGTGGGCTAATGAAGATAGAGGGGGGTGTGGGGCCAAGCCACACACTGTGTGTGAATAGACAATATCCTTTCACAGGCGAGCGGGTTGGGAATGAGACTGTTTGAGTTACCCCATAGCAAGAGGCTTGCTATTGGGGGCAGTTGGCAAGGGGGAGGAGCCAGAACCACTGGCAGGGAACCCAAAATGAAGAGGATTGTGCCTGCTCTGTGCAATGGTTTTGATAAGTATTACATGTTTAGAATCACTTTAATATAATTTTTCTTTTAATTTTAATTTTAAATTAAGCAGAATACATATACATGGATGTTATAGATAAAGAAAACACATATGAAAACTTAACCTAACTATCTATATATAACATTCTACTGCTGTACAAAGTTCCCTTAGCATTCACCTAATTTTTAAAGTGCGTGTCCAGTCAAAACTTTTCTTTGGATAGATTAAAATGATTAGAACCCCTGCTGGGTTTTTATTGCTACCTGGGGCCTATTAACAAGATTTCTTCTCACTTATTGTCAAGGTGAAAATGGTTTTATCAAACTAAAAGGGAGAGGAAATCTGCTACAGGGTCAGATAGAAATGTTTTTTAAATAGAGTAGGGTAAAGTTAGAACCCTTGCCATATTTTATTGCTGTTATTGCCCCTGTTGTAGTTTTTTTCTCACTTCCTATCTAGTAAAACCTTTGATATACTGACAGTAACAGAGAGGAAATTTTTCCAATAGAGCCATTAGATAGCAGTAAAAACTTAACATGGGTTCTAAAGCTTTCTCACTTTATTCAAAACTTTTTTTTTAAAGTTTTGGCTGACCTTTCGGTTCAACAGCTATTCAGCACAATAAAGTACATTTATTCATGTGTGTGTTTTTTATTTATATAGCACCAACATATTATGCAGCTCTTTATACACAGAATTGTACTTATCTTATTCCTTGCTCAAAAGACGCTCTATAATGTCCACAGGCACATAAGCTATATAAGTTAAAAAGCTACATAAAAAAAACTGCATAGGCACGTACGTTTTCTGATTGTGAGTAAAAAGTGAGAATGATTTAGTAAAGGTGTTAGGATTAAATGGTATGAATATTCACGTTAAATATCCAATCCTGTGAAAAGCATATCCCTATCTATTTTGAATACCCAACAATGTGCAGATGAATTAAGTAAACAGGATTTGCTTTTCATATTCTTACCATTTATTCCTGAATTGCAATTCGCACAATTTATTGAGTTAAGATTTAGCTCTGGTAAATAGTTGCATTTACAGCATGTGACAGGCAATACAGTTTGAAGTTCAGTAACAGTACTGTTTGTGATACTTTTTTATTTTGCATCAACAAGTTTTTCAGAGCAAGATTTAGAAGATCTTCTATCCAAGGATCCAATCAGTATTCAACTCTACTTGGACTGAAACAAGGGAAAGAGATATCTTGATTGTTTGTTGTTAGAAATAAAAAATAGAAAAAAAGTATCAGGTGTAGTCAGGGGCGGACTGACCATTTGGAAACTCGGGCACTGCCCGAGGGCCTGTGGTCAGTAGGGGGCCCCATGAGATGCCCCTGGTACCTTTTTCATAGGTTTTTTTTGAGTTTGGGCAAGAACACAGGGGCCCTATGATCCCTTATTGCCTGGGGGCAACATGAATTGTCAGTCCGTCCCTGCGGCCCCGTAGTACTCAACTGCATTGTTACTAGTCCCCTTTTAACAAAAAAATTAAATACCTTAAAAGATATTGTGCATTAAAATGTTTTAGTGCACTTATGTACAGTAAAGATTGGGTAAATAATTTTTCACATGAATTAGTTATTCAGTTGAATGGTTATTTTTGGCAATTAACAATCTATTTTGCTTCAGGAAACAACGTTACATTTTACTGAAGACAGTTGCCCATCCAGCAGAATAGGTATATCCGTGGGAATGGCTTGAATTTTAACTTCATGTGATGGTCTGATGATTTGTGCAGAAATCTTACATCATGGGAATGGTAAATAGTACAGTTGATAGAGTAAACATAAGCACGGATCTCGACAGGGAAATATGTTTGTTATGGAAAGCTTATTAGACCTCCTTTTTTCCTGGATATGAATTAAGAAATGTTCAAAAAACTAAAATCTACATTCATGCAAAACATTTTTCAAAATAGATGCTAATAATTGTACAGTTTATGTTATGGAAACTAATACTGTGGTGAACCTCAATGGTTGCTGGCTAATTCTGAAATGTGGCTGAAATCTAGTGAGAGTTTGAATAAATATAAATATGGAATTCATGAAACAATCTGTGATAACATTTTGTTTCCATGATTTGTACAGAACACTTGCTGTAGGTGGTCAGATAAGAACAGTCCAAATAATAATCAACTGATTTAATCATCAGTAGTTTGGCCGGCCAAAGACGGCTGTTGAACCAGCCGAGATTCGAACCATGTGTGGGCAGGTTGAATGTACCCAAGTAGATTGATTGATCGACTTGGGTACAAACATCCTGCTGCCTAATTTTACATGCGATTGTTGCTAAGCTGTTATAGCCACTAGTGAACTTGGTGTTGATTTATTCACCCAGAGGTCATCACAGAGGACAAGGGGACATTCTTTATGTCTGGAGCAAAAGAGATTTAACTTCCAAATACGGAAAGGTTTCTTCACAGTAAGAGCTGTGGAAATGTGGAATAGACTTCCTCAAGAGTTGGTTCTTGCCAGCTCAGTTGGTTGCTTTTAAAAAGGCCTGGATTCTTTCCTAGATACACATAATATAACTGGATACTAACATTTATAGGTAAAGTTGACCCAGGGAATATTTGATTGCCTCTCAGTGGATCAGGAAATAATTTTTTTCCCCTGCAGGAGCAAATTGAATCATGCTTTGCTGGCGTTTCTTTTGCCTTCCTCTGGATCAACTGTGGGTATAGGATTGTAACTTTTTTTATGGTTGAACTGGATGGACATGTTTTCAGCCAAACTAACTATCTAACTTTCTGGTATATTTTTAATATCTGATGTAATTCTCCCGGCAGCGACGGTACCCCCCCCCCCCCCCCCCACACACACACACAATGGCTTGGTAGCAGGGACTCCTGCCAATACTGTCTGTATTGAAGGGGGAATCAAGTACATCTCTTTCCTGCAACATAAGAAATTTGCACCATCTATGGCTTGCCTGAGAAAAAGAGGAGGGGTGAGTTCACCAGGGATCAATTTGTGAGCGTAAGAACAGTGTTGGCAGTGCTGGTTGTGGTTACTGTTCAGTGGGAAACGAATTCAGATGTTTAACCTAATTTATACTTATGTGCTTTATTGTTCAATGTATAATCTTCCATATAGACCACAAGTCACTTTTATTGAACATTTTCACATTTTACAATCAGCCCTCTCTGTCCACTTTTTGAAGACTCCTTGCAGACAGTACACAACATATACTGAGCTTGCAGAAATAAACCCCTCACTATGAAAAATTTACCAAATAAACATACATAATGTTCTTACACAAAAGAACAGTTTCCAAATGTATATTGATAAAAGTTGTAAAAATATTCCTTCTTGCTGGGAACCAGACTATTGTTTACACAGGGGTCCTCAAGATCCAAAAACACTGATATGCGACCTTAGAAATTAGACCGAAGCTATGACCTTAGAGCAGTATTACACGCTCACTAGCAGAAGGTCTCCAGTGTGCATTCTGTCAGAGCTCTTGTGATTTTGAGAGTCATTTCCGAACAATTGGCTTGTTCATTGTGTGTTATGCTTTTGATGCATGAAAACCCAATTGGAAACAAACACATTTGCTTATTTAGATTTTACTTTTGTTAATAGCATTCTATAATAAGATTACTTGGCACAGCATGATACGTTTAAATATTTGAGTTATATATAAACCTTTGTGGTGGATATGTTTTGAAGCTAAACTTAACTCAAAACTTGAGTGCTTGATCCTGCTTGTTTTTCCATTAGGCAAAAATATGATGTATTTAATAAGAAACAGCTGAAGACGTTAGATGATAGCTCTGCGACGTTGGTTGCAGCTCAATGCGCCAAAAAACATGCTGTTTTATATTATTTCATCAAAGGTACAAATAAGCCCATGACCTTGGGCATGTTTATGTATTTGCATCTAAAACCACTCCACTGTTTTTCACTGTCACAAATATTACACATCACATCTGATGGAGAAAAAAATCATGACTTGTTTACCTGGCTAAATTAACTTTTTATTACAGAGTGATTGGGATGTGGAATTACAGAATAAAACACAAGCAACACATAGCACTTAGGAACATCAAAACACCACTTCCTGTGCCTTAGTTTACCATAATCTGTGGAATGCTGATTGTCAATTAGGGGAGCGATTCAGCATCTATGTGTATGTCTGATTAAAAGCATGACAATTATGCCGCTTAATTAACATAGGTAAGGAAAAACAACAACATTGCGCAGATAGGAGCATGCAGAGAGCAATTTATCGCATTAAAAAAAAGTTTAAATTAAACAAATCAAAGGTTTTAAGGATTAATCTGACTTTTACATGATACAATTTATATTTTATGGTGATAGGATATAACTATTTTTAGCTTAAAAAACAATTGTTTTGTTTGCTTTGTTACTGAACTTCAATTGTTGAGTTGGACCTATTTTATGACCTTTGGAAACCATACATAAATGATTTTTTGTTGTTACCATTCCCTGTATGCATAGAAATATGGAATGGAAAATGCTAAACCCTAAAATAAGTTAGAACAGCTGGACAAGAGGCCTGTTAGATTAGGCTCTTAATTCCTTAACCACTTGCCCTCCGGAAGGATTTACCCCCCTTTGTGGCCATTTTTGCTATTCTGTGTTACTTTAACTGACAATTGTGCAGTCATGCAACATTGTACCCAAACAAAATGAATATCATTTTTGTCACACAAATAGAGCTTTCTTTTGGTGGCATTTGATCACCTCTGGGTTTTAATTTTTTGTGATATAAATGAAAAAAGACTGACAAATTTGAAAAAAAAAATGTTTTTTTTCTTTCTGTTTTAAAACATATCCAATAAAAAAAATGTAAAAATCAAATCTCTGCATAAATTTTGGTCAAAATGTATTCAGCAACATGTCTTTGTTAAAGAAAAAAATTAAGTGTGTATTGATTGGTTTGTGTGAAAGATATAGCGTCTACAAACTGTGGGATATATTACTGAAATTTGTATTTATTTATTTATACTACTAATGGTGGTAATCAGACACGTATAACGGGACTTTGGGGAACAATCTGACACTAATGCTGGGGGGGGGGACTGACTAACTGCCACTGACCTCACCAGCGACATTGATAGTGTCACTGTAAAAATGATACTGCTCGGAAGGGGTTAACATCTAGGGTGATCAAGAGGTTAACTGTGTGCCTAACTATGTGTAATGTGTGCTCCTTTTACGAAGGATCTTGTTTTTTTATTCCCAACACCAAGAATCCCTGGTAGTAAACACTGCTCTGTATTATTTACAATGACAGAGCTATGTTCAATTGTGTTCAATGTCGATCACTGGGTCCTGATGGTCAATTATTGGCTGGGACCCGGTGATCAGCATGTGCTGATGAGTGGGCACGTCTCCTCTCCGAGCTCGCGAATCACATACTAGGTACTGTAATCCAGAGCTGGAGAGCCTCTCTACAGCCATATATGTATGGTAAGTTTATACGGTCGGCAAGTGGTTAAAGGCAATTATTTTTTACATTTTGGATAGAGTAAGGGAGGATTATAACGCCTGTCAGTTTTTTGGCACCTGTGTCCCATTGGGAGATTTCCCTTCACTTCTTGCCCTATAATCAAAGCAGGAAGTGGGAGGAAATCCTTGCAAAGTGAGGAAATCCCTTGTAGTCACCAGGGTCACCAGAACTAGTATCCTCATTAGAAGGTTTCTCTTTTATTATTGTTCCAGAGACAACCCTCAATGTGGGTTTTTCTTTTACTTTCAGCGATTACAGTAAAGAAGACAAACATAGAGGGTAAATCTCCCTAACAGGAGCACAGACATCAGTAAAAACCTGACAGATGTTCTAATTTCTCTCCACTCTATCTAAAACTAAAAAAAACAAATGTTTTAGTCTTTAGTTACACTTTGTGTTCAGAGTGGTTGATATTCAGAGTGAGGGAACAGTGCTTATCTTAGGGACAAAAACCCATATAGCAACACAATGTAATTCTATCTTTGAACAATAATCAACATGTGTGTGAGAAGGAAATGAACATAATGTCTGAGATCAAAGATATTTGCTTTGCCTTAATATACTGCCCAATTCCCGAGCAATGTTTTACAAAATGTTCTTTCTTGTTTTTTTCTTGCTTGCTTGTAACAGATGAGCAAACTAATTTGGCAAGTTTTATAGTGAATATATAAAATTTTCATTTGTGTCATTTGTGAAAAATAGGTTGAAATAGTTCTGTAAATGCTAAGACAAAACAAAAGCAGTAAAAAGCAACAAAACTTTATATGAATCAAAACATTTTGTGCAAGTATTAAATACAAAGTAATAAAAAAGAAGTAAAAGTTAAATTAAAGTAGATCCAAATTCCAAGCCTAATGGAGTTTATAATATTTGTTAATACTCGGTTTTCAATCTTCCAGCATTTAAAACAACTGCATCTGTTTTTTTCAGAACACCTCAGAAAATTAAATAATCACTGTAACTGCAAAAGAAAATAGTCTTTATTATGAGCTGTG